AAAACGACAAAATAAACAAGAGACTATCTTATCTTGGAGTTGAGATGATATTATTACTAATATTTTTATTTAATTCTCTTTATTTTGCTGTGCTCTCCAAAATCTCTACCTAAACCTACAATCTACTGTCATCAATCTACTGTGACTCATAGGACCCTGACACTGTGAATCTTTATGGGAGCAGAAAGTCTTACCTTTCTCCTACTTTGAACTGCCGACTTTGAAAGCTAGCAGTCCAGTGCTAGCTTATTTATCTGGAATAAATAAGATTCCAAAAGAAAATACAGCTAATACGTGATCACATGAAAAATAAATGAATAAATATTTCTTTATAAGGTATTTATAAACACCAACTATTTAACTATCAGCCTGGTTTGACTCTTCAGCCCAAAGAATTGCCTGAACTCCGTTTCCCATAATCCCCTTGTCTCTAGTTTCCCATGAACCCAAGGGTCCAAATACCCATAGTACGACAGTAGGAAAGTTAAGCCTGCCCCCTCACTCTTTACTAGCTATTCACTAGCGACTTCGTCTAGTTTGCGGCTGTTGATTGGTTAAGAGCGACCGTGAGAGGGATGAATTTTGACAGATGGCACGGAGGCGTGGCCACAGCTGCCTAGAAGTCTATGCAAGATCGCGAGCAGCCATGTACCGATCACTCAGGTCCGTCGCTGGTTTGAATCGTTTCCTGCGGCCTCCAGCTCCAGCCTCCGATCCTGGCCTTAGTGGTGCTGCCAACCTCCCATTTCTGCCCCCGAACACCGCTCGAATGGTGAGCGCCGGCCGCTCGTCCTTGGCCTCCCTACGGTGACCTTCAGCAGGCGGTGGGGCTGACGGGAGGGACTCTCCAGGCTTCCCGGCAAGCCCGGCCAATGGCTCCGCTCCGGCGCCCGAGGGTCAGGTCGCTCCATTAGGGGGCCTCCTCCAGTGCGGGCTGGGAACTTCCTGCCTGGGGAACGCTTGGGAGGGGAGGCAGCTGCCGGCGAGGGCCCTGCCTGGCTGCTCGTGGCCCTACGCGGAGAACCGAAGACCATGCTTAGGCTGGGGCACTTAGGGTAGCCGGTCTTCCTCACCCTCGCTTGCTGCTTGAGTTCTTGCGGGAGCCCTCAGCCACTGCGGGTGAGAGTAGACGAGGTAGCTCCAGCCCTCTCCTGGCCCCCTCCGTTGGCTTTGTTGGTGGGACTCGGCGCGTGTTATTACAGCAGCCATTGAGCCGGGCGTCTTGGCGGGAGCTGTGAACTTACTCCCCGGCCTGCAGGTGGGATTCAAGTGTTTTAGGAATTGGACGATTTTACTGTTGTTAAGTGCAGACCATTCATTCGGTTCCAACTCATAGCGACCCTGTATAGGATTTCTGAGGAGCAGCTGGTGGGTTTGAACTGTCGACCTTGTGGTTAGCAGCCCAGTTCTTCTTATCCAACAGTGCCACACCAATATTCTTGACGATGTTACTTGTGAAATCCATGATTCAGTTTGTTAAACGGAATATAATTCGCCCCACCCAACTTATATATGGGGCTCTGGTAGCGTAATGGGTACGAATCGGGCTGCTAGCCTCAAGGTCAGCAGTTGGAAACTAACAGCCCTCTGCGGAAGAACGATGTGGCGTTCTGCTCCTGTAAAGATTTACAGCCTCGGAAACCCTGTGCAGGATCACTACGAGTCGGAACCGACTCCACGGTGCTTAACAACAACAACAACCGAACTTAAGTGAAGTTATGTAAAATCGTGAAGTTCATAAACTTGGGTCTAGTATTCTGAAGCGTGTTGGAGGAGATTGTGGATTGTTGGAGTCTTCCGACTAAGGGACCTCTAGGGTTTCTAAGGAACTGCTGGGGTGGGTTTGAACCGCAGACATTGTGGTGAACCGTTCAGTGCTTAACCTCCACCTGACACCAGGACTCCAGTTTGTGGACGCAGTCTGTTCCGACTCAGAGCAATCGTATGTAGGATTTCCAACGCTGTAAATCTGATTGGCACAGTGTCAGCAGGAATGGGCTCAAGCTGAACATTGTGAGGATGGTGCTGGACCGTGCACTGTTTCATTAAGTTGCGTGTAGAGTCATCAACTTGACACACACACACACACACACACCCCAAAAAATCTTTACGGGAGCAGAAAGTCTCATCTTTCTCCTGAAGAGCGCCTGGTAGACCAGAACTGTTAGGGTTATGGCTATTA